TGAATCGATTTGCTCGTTGAAATTTAATGGGTTTTGATACTATATTAAGACTTGAATTTCATTTTAAAAGGTCAACATTATTAATAGGAGCCTAAATCCTTATAATGTTTTCAACTTTTTCGATATGAAAATCTCTCTTAATAGGATATAATAATTGCAAGAGACGAAATCGAGGAATAAGGGATCGAGCAGAAACTCTTTGCTAGGTAGGTGGAACGAGATGTGGCGGCTAGGACTGCCTCCAAAGACATGCATCTTCCTTTGGAGAGTATTTCATAATCCTTCGTCTACCAATAGTAATTTGTTGCGCCATAAGAAGGGATCCAATGATCGATCGATGTTTTAGATATGAGGCACTAAGTAGAGTCAATTAGCCATGCTAATTTTTTATATTGCGAGTCGAAAGAAGTAAAGAAAGCAATTGGGCTTTGGGGAACTATAAAAAATGGAGCTCGACTTACTAATACGAGAGATGTGATGTCCTCAAATTTCCTTCATTACGCATGGTACATGTTAGATTTTAAAAGTTTTGAATCTTAAGAACTTGGAAACGATTTTAAAAGTTTTAAATCTTAAGATCTTGGAAACTCTTTCCGTATTTTAAATATCTTCTAATCAAATCACGAAGAGAATAATTAAATGCGGAACGTAGCTTATTTTATTGTGAATGATTCTTTATTACTGGATCTTGATTATGGATCTTTAATTCCGCATTCTTGATTATGGATTTTGGATATTGATTCTTGATTGCGAGTTTTTTTCCCTTCTTGATACGCTTTCTCTTGAGATTCTTGTGTTGATGGGATGGAACAAAAAATAAAAAGTCATATATATATATAAATATTTGGGCCCATCATGAAATGCAACCTTAAAGGACATGGTCTCTACACATATTTAGGCCTATATTTTAATTAGATGCCCCAAAATCCAATGACGAACAGGAAAATTTAATAAGAGATTAAGTATTACTTACTTCAAAACTGAGAAGCAAGGTTTAAAATTTCAAAAATCAAATATTAATTATAATTTGTATTATGAAATAATTAATTAAAAATATTAAGGTCACAATTTTATACAATTTTTTCACAATTATTGAATTAATTGATCACAAATTATTTTTCGATCAAAGAACAAATTATTTTTGAGTCACAGATCACAAAATTTATAGATCACAAATTATTTTTGGTCACAGATCAAAAATTTTATATGTCACAATTCATTTATCGATTACAAATTTTATGAGTTACAACTTATTTAATGGTCACATATTATCAAATGAATTGGTCACAACTTAATAAGTTGTTAGTCACAATCACATTTTATAGATCACATATTATTTGTTGATTACAATTAACCAATTTATTGACCACAATTAATCAAAAATTGGTCATAAATTATTTGTTGATCACATATTAATCAATTTATTGGTTAAAATCAACCAAATAATTGATCACAAATATTCCCCCTCCCCAACCTTACCCCGACTCCACCTATCCCGCTCCACAGCATTTCCTTTTCCACCACCACCACCAAAAAAATTTCCAAATCTGTAGCCGAGTCACCAACACCACATGTGTCAACAAATACCATCATCACCACTGCCTATATCAACAAAAACCATTGCGCACCATTGTTTGTATCAACAAAATCATCGCCACCGCCATCACCAGATCCAACAACACTACCATCAAATCCATCGTCGATTGAACAAAACTCGTCTCCATTGCCAGATCCACCACCACCGCCCACATCAACAAAAATCACCGTGCACCACCATTTCTATCTACAAAATTACCGCCATCACTAGATCCAACAACACTACCAACAAATCTATCGTCGATCCAACAAAACTCGCCTTCACTGCTAGATCCACTATCACCACTAGATCCGCCACCATCCACAGACAAAGCCCAACACAGATGCATTGAATCACCGCTCGATCTACGGTGGCGACTGTTGACGGTGGTCCTCGGTGAGATAGAGAGAAGGAGAGGTATAGTAGAGAGAGTGAGAATTGATTGAAAATGATGAAGGAAATGAATTTTAGGGTTTAAAGTGTGGGTATATAATTAATTGAATTTTATAATACTATTATTTAGTATTAAAAATTATATTATCATTCTGATTTTTAAACGGACTTAACTTTAAGATAACCTTTAATATATACTTAATTGCATGTGTAAGCCACACGACAAATTAAAACTAAACAGCATGAACTAGTGGTGAGCTATTGCATTGGGATCAATTCCCTCCGAATGAGGTTTCTACTGGCTATTGTTGTCCCGTGGATGTTGTGGAGGCTTTGGCCTTGCGGGAAGGACTCCCATTTGCCGAAGCTGACGGTTATGAGATTTGTTATTTCTGAGTGTGACTCCTTGTTGGTTATTCAAAGTCTTCAATCTGATTTTCTCTTTGCACACAATGCTAGAGTTCTTTCGATATTTCGGATAATATATTGCTACTAATTGTAATATGTACCTAAGTCGATTGTATTCCTTTCTTCCGCTCACAATTTGTGATGAACTTTTTTTTATAAAAATGTTTCGTTCTGTTTGTAAAATGATTTTTTTTTTTTTTTTTTGGGTAAACTTTAAGCCCTTTTCCCCTTTCTGATGCATGGACGTTGAGAATTGCTTTTACATTTTGGACATGTATGTCTTACTGAATTGAGATATTTCTTCGTTTTTCAAAAATTTCCATTGAGTTCTGAAAGAGAGGGATATGATCAGATCTAGTCCCCGGTACAAGCATATTTTTAAACTTGGGAGTGGCGGCTGATTGGGAATTCAACATTCATTTGGTTCCACGTGCTAATTTTGTCCATCTTGTAAGTTGTTCGTAATGAGTGATGAACGAAAAGTATTTTTAAAGGGAAAAAGTCAAATGAACCGCAAGGCCCTCACATGCCCGACATGGGTCCCTCATGAATAAAGTAATGTCGACTCCTATGTGTGTTGTGTCAACCCCGAGTCATCCATGTAGACACTGTAGTACGACTCTTTTTAAAGTTTAATATGACATTCGGACAAAATTTTGAAGTTTAGAAATGTATGGTAATGCAATCCAAATAAAAATAAATAACTCTAAGGGGCAAGTTTGGTACATTGTATAATTAGGAGCTAGGATTAGAACGGATATGATTAGGGAGGGAGGATTGGAAATTGGAATGAAGCAGAATAGATTAACGCGAATTGTTTTAACATAGCATTTTAGTTATAAATGAGATTTTTTTTCTTAATTTTGATTTCTTTTACTTATAAGTGATTTTATACATATACACAGGTCATCTTTTACTCATAAGTGGATTTTTTTTCGTTCTTTTTAAAGTAAATTTACTTCTTTATATTCAACCTTTTTTTCTTCTTCTTCTTTTCCAAAATGGTGAATATTAATAGTCTAAATCCCCTTATTATGTGATTTACCCAAGGAGGACAAACACTCCAATTTAATTTTATTCGGGTATTAATTGTTTGTACCTAATATTTGATAAAGATTTAATATAGTTAAATTAAAATAAAATATCAATAAATGAATGCTTGATAAATTAATAATCTCGCTTAAATAATAAATTTTTTTGATCTGGACTTGACGTTGTATACTAAAATATCCTCTAAATACACAAGATAATAATTTTATTTAAAATCCCTGAGATTCAATTGTGAAACACGTAAATTTTATAACACATACTGAAGAATTTTTTTTTCTTGGCAGCTTTTATTTTTTCAATTAATTTTTTTTTTTGAAAATATAAACCGTATGTTATTTGCTTTTTCTTTGTACAAAAATCGAACTCAACCTTGTATCAATTTTATTTTATTTTTATTTTTTGCATATACTGCATTT